TTCGCGTTTCGATCGTCTCCCCTTTTTTTTTTAGATATCCCTTCCTCACAAGTTTCTATTCAAGTTCGGATTGAAATTCCTGCATAGTTTAGATATTCCTAAACGGAGAATATATAAAGTGACACGCATTATTAAGATACACATATTTTAAAAAATTTATAAAATTTTACTATATTTACGAAAGTTTTTTACGGAAATTTTTTTTAAATTAAAGATGTAAATCATATTTGATATAACCATCAAATTATTTTATTATCATTATATAACTGTAATATAAATTTTACTTAATTTTTATTAATAAATTTTAATTAATTTTTTAGTTATTATTTTATGTTTTTGCAAAAGAAATTAAAACAAAGAAAAGCTAATGTGAGCCGATAATACTATAGCTGTTCGTATATAATGCATGTAAAGTATTCATACTTAACATTGATACCCAAGTGGGAATTTATACAGAAAAACGGTATTAAATCCTGGCGAGGATCTGTACTGAAAAATGTACCGAATCTGTACTGAAAAATGAGTTTCATATTTCAGTACTGGACTAGTACCATGAAACTAATGATACGGTACTGGCCCAATATATGAATCAGTATTGAATAGTAATACTGATCCAGTAATACAGTAATACACTGTAATCCAGTAATACACTGCCAGTAGATTTTCGTGTGTGTACTGAAGTTGCCAAAACCAGTGTATCGAAACTGTATACTGCCGCGTCTGTGAAGTTAGCACCCCAATATTGAAATTCCATAGTTCTGATTAGAGTTTCCGTTTCCTTTCATCAAGACGAAGAGTTCTCTATAATTTATAACAAGAATTCCGCTTAATAACTATTTTTAAATAATTTTTAAAAAATGAGGTGCTAACTTCTTATCGAAATTCGAGATCGAACAGTTTCGAGTAGCTTTAATAGCTCTATTTTGAATATCTAGAGTTCCTGAGGTACATAAAAAATAATTTTTTTAAGAAAATTAAAAAAAGATAAAAAATTTTTGATTACTTCTTGAATTTCGCATATCTTGAATATCGTTGGTCCAATCGCTTTGTCACCTGATACTTTTCGACAGAACTGGTCGAGAACTATCCAAAACAATAATCACAGTTTCGAGTAGCTTTAATAGCTTTATTTTGTGAATATCTAGAGTTCCTGAGGTACATAAAAAATAATTTTTTTAAGAAAATTAAAAAAAAATAAAAAATTTTTGATTACTTCTTGAATTTCGCATATCTTGAATATCGTTGGCCCAATCGCTTTGTCACCTGATACTTTTCGACAGAACTGGTCGAGAACTATCCAAAACAATAATCAGAACTACTGGAACTCTTAAAAAAGTTTTCAACGTCAGACTTAGAAAATTTTCATCTACCTATCAAATATGTCATATTTCGCAAACTCCATGTTCTCTTTTCCTACCGGTACACAGGTCTTTTCAGTTATTTCTGCACTACCTCTCAACCGTATTTACTCAGTGGCACGCGCATAAGACAAGCGTGTAGGTGGTTGGAATAAATTACCGGCTTAGGTTGGAATGCCGACTCGAATTTCCGCTCATGTACACGATTGTTCGTCAACCGCGGAAAATCGCTAATTCTTATATTAATTAAAAATTTTAATCGAAGAATAAATTGGACTAGAAAGAAATTGATAAGACAAAGAAATAATATTATGAATTATTAGATTGTCAGAAAAAATCAAAATTTTAAGATATAAAACTTTTTAAAACGTTCAAATTAATTTTGCGTATTAATAGTTTGCGGAAAAAAAGTCGCAAAGAAAGAGTTAGTAGAAAAGATGTGTTCTCCAAATTTCACAATTTATCATCGGTCAGACGCGTTTCGGAGTTAATTATTCCTTTTTTAATGGATGACGGATTTACGATCGCGAGTTATCCGCAAAGTCACGTGCTCTCAGCCCGCAGGCGTGACCGGTGAGCCGCGGACTTTCGCATAACGTCGCGGTAGCTTAAGACAATTCGATAAATAATGAACCAGCGACATGTTTATGCGCTCGCGTGTCTGTATTCAATGAATCCTCGAGCGAACACGATCCGCAAAGTACAGCCCTACCGCGCCGAAGGGAATTATTCGAGGATTTATTCCGTGCGCTCCTCATCGTTCCACCGCTTGACTTCCGCACCTCCGAGATATCAAGTCGATTTGTAACGATAAAGTATACACATGCACTAAAATTGAAAACGAAGTTTCTCTAAAATCCCTGAGGATCGAAATGTAATCGAACGATGAATATTCTTTTCGGACTGCATCAAACTTTCTTTCATTCGTTTGTTCTTTCACAAAGAGAGGGAGGAAGGAAGGGGGGGGGGAGAAAGAGAGAGAGAGAGAGAGAGAAATATCTTTCTTAACCAATTAAATAAGAGTAAAATCCGAGGAAATAACCACTGAAAAAAATAGATGTACACCTGGACTTTTAACTTCAAAAACTTCACGGACTGTTATGGATTTCATGAACTTTGCCGGAGTTTATAAAGGTCTTCAATTTTGAGGAATTCATCAGATTTCTGAGTTATACGTACATCAGAATTCAAGAGTGATTATCCCATCGAATTCATCGGACTTCAATGGATTTCATCGGACTTTACCAGAGTACATCGACTTTACCGGACTTCATCGGATTTCAAGGAATTAAACGAACTTCCAAGGGCTTGTACACCGAACTTTGCCAGACTACATCAGACTTTACTAAAGTAAGTTACATCAAAATTTACCAAACTTCATCGGACTTTGCCAGACTGTATCGGACTACATCGGACTTTACTAGACTTCATCGGATTTCGAGGAATTCATTGGACTTCTGACGGATTGTACACCGGAATTAAGAGTGGTTTCCCCTTCGATAAAACCAGAAATAAATGACAAAGTTCTTACGGAAACTCACGTACCATCTAGATATGGGTAACATAATGGTCAAAATATTCATCACCCGAAGTTAAAAAAGAAATTTCATATGTTCAACAAGTGACAGCAAATAGAAGATAAGATAATCGAAAATATATTATTTAAAAAAAAAACAAACAAATGTACAACCAAATCATCACTTACGTGTATCGCTGCCCATACGATGTGTATTCCTTTATCTATTCTTTATTCGAGTCTCGTGAAAGACTACGTAACCGTTTGAGTCGGTGAGTTTCGAAACACGAAGAGCTAGATGCGCTGAGCTGAGAAAACGACGTAGTACCGCGGAATCTTTTGTGTTTGCGTTTGAATTATTATGCGACGAATTACGACAGAGCCGGTCACGACGCGCGTAAAATATTTAGACTTAGTAATCAGACTCCGTCTGTCTCGCGCTTTCGTCCGGCGTGGAAATTCAAAATTACGTAATCTGGTACGAGGCGCGAAACAATGAAGACAATAGCAACCCAGGAACGGCAAACAAATCTCTACAAACCGAGGGGACTCGCGCGTACCAAGCTCGATTCATCGAACATCTGTCCTCAAAATTTTGTCAGTGAAATGAAGGAGATAAGTCAAAATCGGAAGATGCCCTAAACAGACCATGTCTAATTAACATCATCAATTAAACTGAAAAGACAAAGATCGAAAACGAAAAGAGATTAAATTAAAAACTTCGATAAGACATATCTACGCGAAGCTATTATAAAAAAAAGAATTATTTGATATCTAGATAGACAAAAACAATATATATTTTTTCGAGTTCAAGTTCTGCTTTTATTGGTGTATCGATAAGAATAGCTGTCTTCCGTTTTCTTGCCATGTGTATGAGCATTCTTCCGTGGACCAGCTTTAGGAAGAGGACGAATATCTTCTGGAGTTGATTGTTCAAAACTATGACTTGGTATAAAAGTAGACAGCTGGCAAAGTGTATGATCTGAAGAATTGCTTATTTCCATTCTGTCCGCTGCATTTCTCGAAAGTTTTAACGAAAGTTTGGCTAAACTGGAGATTAAGGCAAAAGTGAAAGTAGAAATGGGCCTATGTGCAATCAACGCTGCGTTGGGTGCTTCCTTGTTAATGTCTTATTTTTTATCTCCTTTTTCATAGGACTGCATGGGCCGCGTCTTGCAGAGGATCACAGGGGCCAAATTATGCCAGATCGACTAGAAAAGTCGCAATTGCTATCGTAATGTGCGTAGCGATACCTTCTGACTAGTTGCTATATTTCTATGTGACCGGTATGAGGAGGGAAAAAGGATTTAAGCAATAGCAACTCGGCGTAATTCCGATCTTAACAACATCTGGGAAAGGTGTGGAGAGGGGCAAGGAGACTATAGCGATTACGATCAGGCGTAATTCCACCCCTGGTCTGACAACTAATCCTAGCTCATTTGGGACAATCTAATCCACATGGCCGTTTTTAGTAGAAGAAATTATATTGATAAATTTGGTCAAAATGGCTGATTAATATGATAGAATAATGACAGAGTAATGAATGATTAATTAACTGCAGCAAAAGTTTCCTAAGACATATCATTTTCTATTATTATACAGAAATCTTGATTGATAATGCTAAAAAGTTATTAAATAACAAAAAATAAAATATTAAAAAAATTTACTAACCAACTTTATTTTCTTAAAAGTCGTTATAAATAATATACACAGTGCTTTTGATGCAAACCATTTTATACAATTATATTACATCAACAATCTACAGTAAAAAAAGATTTTTTTGCTATATAGTGATTGAGTTATAAGCATTTTAAAAATCAACCCCATACGACAACGCGCCCCGGTCTCCCCTACTATTCATTAAATCATCGATCGTCTATTTTCTTTTAGTTTTCAACATTCTCCGTTCAACACTATTTTAGAATCCTATATACAAACATATATTAGGTAATTAACATTTAAGGCCGGTATTCATGGTCAGATCTTATATTCAAGACCGTCTTAAGTATGGTCTTAAGACATTACTTAAGACGGTCTTGAAATAAGAATCGACTATGAATATCGGCCTAAGTTAGGCCGAAGTCATCACCAACATATTATTCATGAACATCGTCATTATTTTACAGGAATGGCCGGTAGCATGGGACAAGCTGCAATGGGCTCCTATTACACCCCCGCCGCGGCTTAC